CCCCAAAACCCCAAAACCCCAAAACCCCAAAACCCCATCTATTTAGAATTAGATATATAAATAGAAATGCGAATTTATTTTTTTTAAATAATTTATATTGCCTACTGATTTAATTTGCTACATATTAAGATATTATAAAATATTAATGAAACCTAATTAAGTCAGAAGAGAAAGCAACAGAGTTCCATTAGCTATAGATACACAGTAGTTGTTAATCTAAGCTCAAAATAAAGGAGAACCAATAAATATTAAAGAGGTTTCTAGCCCTATTCATTTAAGACCACTTTTAACACCTAGTAAGGTCATTTCATTACTTTATGATTTACAAAGGAGGGGAATCAATTGATTTAGAGATTAGTTTACAACATAGCTAATTGCAATTAGAGGCATAGGGGCTAAAAGATAAAATGCTTAAAATGAATCCTAAGCACATGAGTTCAATTTATTAAAAGACAATGTCTGAGTTCATCCAGAAGGTAGATACGGTGTCTGAAATTGATGACAGATCGATTACAATTGCAAAGTATTTCATAGAAATATCTAATGATTTGGATGTAAAATCCCTTTATTCTGCATTCTTTTAAATATACTTTTCATATAATTGATATTATCTATTAGGACTTAGACAAAGCGATTCAAAATAAAATTAAGGGCAAGGAGAAGGAAATGCTTGAGAATATGAGAATTAGATTCTAAGCATTCAAAAATTAGATTAATATTTTACAAAAGGTAATCGCATCAAAGCTTTATGAGGGAGAAATAGGTAAAAGACTGTAGTCCTCTGAGATAGAAAAAGAGGTACTTAAGAATATGAACGATGAGATAGCCTCTTCAAATAATAAACTTAGAGATTAAATTAAGAAGTTCAAAGTATAAATAGACATTTTGGAATCTGACAATAAATTCTACCTTGATACCATAAAATAGCATATGATTTAGTAAAGATCATCTTCATAGACATTTGCCAAGACTTCAACATAGGTATCACCCTTCAAAAATGAGCCACTAAATACTGTCATAACTCAAAATAAAAGGATGTTTGAAGTAAACTAAAGTCAACTTAATAAAATCTCTCCATTTAGTCCCAATAAAACTTCTTAGAAAATCAAAGAGCTAGAGACAACATAAGCTGATCTTCGAATGTATAAAAGCTAAAGTAATAATGCTGGATTTGAAGTCAAAGAATTAAATCTTAAATTCTTAGAATTCTAGAAATCAGAATCTACTAAGTTACAAGACCTCAAATTCATTTCTCCTTTGAATAATCTGAAATTAAAAAGAAAAGAGATTGGAACTTAGACTGAATAAATACTAGCATTATTTGAAAATCAAACAATCAGATCATCTCAGGAAATGAAGTCTCCAAAATCAGAAGTAATCACTTCACACAAGTAGAGATCCATAGCTTCTAAAAGCCCGGATGAAAACCCTAATTAAAGCACAAATAACAATTACTTCAAAAATCTATTTTTCCAATGCACCAAAGCAATGGTCCATGAAATAAAGCAAAAAGAATAAGCCTTAAAAATGCGCAAGGAGAATTGCAATAATCTATTTTTAACTTAACCATCCAATCAAGAAATAAATGTTATCGATAATAATCAGAATGATGTACAGAATTAGAATATCACTTGGGAGCAAATAAGAAATAAGAGATTCGCTCATCAGGAGAAATTAAAGATACTTGAAATGATGTTCTCAGATGAAAAACTAATCAAGAAGCTGTACAATTTAATATTTCTAGATGAAAACAAAACAGAGGAGACCTATGAATCGACAAGAGTAGTCTTAGAAACTCCATCCTAGATCAATAGGTTTGTTAATTAAAGTAGAATGACTAGAAGCAGAATGTATAGCAAATCATCAACTCTTTTCTAGCATGATGATAGCATAAAAAGTATGAGCAACAAGAATCAAGAATTACTAAATTCAATGATTAAATTGGACAGCAATGCATTATACAGTCAATCTCTAATTTCATAGTCAAGTGTGCCGGATTTATTCAACCTTAATAAGCCGCTAATCAAGTAAAATAGCAGCAATAGGAGAACTATCAAAATTTAGAATTAAGAAGACCCAAAAATTTAATCCAAGCCTTAGAAGTAGAACTAGAGTATTTTGACGAGGAATAGACGAGATATACTTGAAATGAAAGCTATCAAGCACAAATTAAGGAAAAGTGATTCCTCCGCTTTTGATGATAATGAAAACCCTAGAAATCTTAAATTTCTTCAAAAGATAAGTCACGAATAGGCCTATTTCAAGAGAAGAGATATTAATTTCTAGCACAAGAACAAATATAATCTTTGAAGGAATTTATAACTAATAAATTTTGAAAATTTTGATTTAAAGTTCAAGCGGGGTTTTGGGGTTTTGGGGTTTTGGGG